CCCATGGACAGAGGAGTCTGATGGGCTAGAGTCCATGGGTCCCAAAGAGTTAGACACGACTGAGGCAATTTAACACACAGGCACACTGGGAAGCAAAGTGGAATGGATTTTTAAATGAATCAAACTTTGAATTTAAATTTGAAGTTTATTTTGCGGTTTTGTTGTCAAGTTTATGGAACCATGATTTTATCATAAGATTCCTTATGAGGCAGCTGCAATAAACTTAGGTGTGGCCTTTTGCTTCTGGGAGCTATAATTAGCCATCTGGTATACTTTTTAACATTTTGTTAAATAAAAAAAATCTTAAAATGTAGCATTTTACTCACTTCTCTTTCTCTCCATATATGTATAATCACACGTACATGATATGTATGATGATAAATGTGGAAAATGTGAAAGTGAGACAAAATATTTACAGAATGGAAAAGGAATGCTTAGGGGGAAACCACCATCATAAAACCCCCAAACCAAAACACACTTATGCATAGATGCCAAAGCTCTATTTTTCCGTGTTATGTTTTAGGGTTTTCGTGTAACAAAACAAAAGTTGTTTTTACCAACAGATATTTAAGCAGCAGTGACATGCTTATTATTTACTGTTTTGGTATCTTTCCCTCATTTACATAAATACCCCAGAAACCAGCAGTTTAAAACTAATAAATGCAAGGGCCCTCCATCAAGTGCAATAAAGTTTCATAACCATGAGTTAGACTGTTAGAGTGAAAAATAAACCTATATATGTGGTTATGAAAGGGCTTTCTTGGGAAGTGCATAATCACATTTCAAAGTTAGAACTTCAATTTGAAGTTGCAATGCAATAATGATACTTAAACATTTATGCAGGATGCTTCATCTTTACAACACTCTCCCAACATTGGTCAATTAATCTCTACTGCTTCCCTAAAGAGCAGGTCATTTTTCTAGTTAGAAAGTTGAGAAAACTATGGCCAGTTCAGAGAAAGGCAGGGCTGGGGAGACAGGTTTCTAGTCCTTATTATTCTGTGACTCTTTGGGGTGTAACTCTTAGTAGAATGCATCTGTATTCTCTTCCACAGAATTAGCAAAAAACAAAGACAGAAATAGTAGCTCAATCTGTCTCAGGCTTTTAGACACAGCCCTTACCCTTGTGAGGCACACTTTTTGGAAAGAACAGGATACAGAAGAGCCACAGTACATTCATTTCCTCTGCATTTACCACCAGTTGGACCAAACTTCTTTCAGTGAGAAAGGTGAAGTCAAATGCTTCCTCCCTCCCTGCAACTTCTACCCTCACATTATCTTGGCAACTTAATTTCTAGTTTTCCAAATAAGATTTACTATGATTAACACATTTAAAGAGTTGAACAAATGTGTTATGCACATTAAAGCCAGAGGAACAGTAAAACAAAACTAATGAACATTTACATTTTTGGAAGTATAATTAATGTATGCTTGAGAAATTCTTAAAGATAAACATTTAAATGTTAAAATACTTATTACCTTCCCCACAGGGACAGTCTTAGGAATTAATGAGATAACAAATGTAAAGTGCTTTGAGCTCTTTAGAAGAAAGGTGGCAGATGCATAAAAATGATTATTAATTGTTAAAAGCTAGAAGATGATAACTAACATATTACTTAGGATACAATACATCATTTTATACTTGAAAAATAGGATGCTTATGATTCTTGGAATGATATAGCTGAAGTAATGCTTCCCAAACTTCTCCCAGGTTACTCTGTATCCTCTTGGAAGTCTTTTCTCATTTCTTAACACCCATCTTTCCAGTGAAACTATGGGGCATGATTTCCTATATTCCAGATTCTCCCACACATACCTATCATCAGTCCTCCACCTTACAGATCCATCCCCATAGAATTCTACTGACTGATGCTACTTTCTCTTCTGATTTATTTGATCATGTAGTTGTGATGCTTCACAATGCTGTCAGTTGCCCAAGTTTATGTTATGAGCAAGAAATGTGTAAGTTAAACTATCTTTCTATGCTTTAAGCAACACATTAGAATTTGTTATAAAAGAGTAAGTCCCTTACACAATCTAGGACAAGTGAAACTGAACTACTTTATTTCAGTTCAGTTCAGTTCAGTTGCTCAGTTGTGTCCAACTCTCTGCAGCCCCATGGACTGCAGCATGCCTGGCTTCCCTGTCCTTCACCAACTCCCAGAGCTTGCTCAAACTCATGTCCATCAAGTCAGTGATGCCATCCAACCATTTCATCTTCTGTCTTCCCCTTCTCCTCCCGCCTTCAATCTTTTCTACCATCAGGGGCTTTTCCAAGAGTCAGTTCTTCACATCAGGTGGCCAAAGTATTGAAGCTTCAGCTTCAGCATCAGTCCTTCCAGTGAACATTCAGGACTGATTTCTACTTTATAAAACATGCTATTAATAGAATTTGTGTTGCATGTGTGCTAAGTCTCTTCAGTCTTGTCTGACTCTTTGCGACCCTATGAACTGTAACCCTCCAGGCTCCTCTGTCCATGGGATCTTCCAGACAAGAATACTGGAGTGAGTTGCCATGCTCTTCTCTAGGGTATCGTCCCAACCGGCATCTCTTGTGTCTCCTGCATTGGCAGACAGTTCTTTACCACTTGCTCCAAATGGGAAGCCCAGAATTTGTGGTAAATGAGTTTAAACCTCAAATTTCATTCAGCCTGAGACACGAGGTGAGATACCTTCACTAAATGTCTGTTTTCTCATATGTAAAATGAGGACAGTAGTAGTAGTTCTCCACATGGTGTTGTTGGAAAGATATAATTTAAAAATTTATATGAAACTTCTAGTACAGTACATATCTAGCCAACAATGTGTTCAATAGAAGGTAAATGTAAGTGGATAGTGAAAAGTAGTTAAGCAGAAAGCACAATTTGCCACTGAACATCATTTATTTAGTTTCTTGAAAATCAGTATGAAATAAGTAATATATAAAAGGAGATAATTATCATCATCCAGTAATGTGCTCCTAAATGTTTAGTTGAGTTTGCTTCTCAAACCATCACAAACATTCAATATTAAACGATGGGTCATTTCTCTCACAAAGATAGCTCTATGGTTAAATGTATGCTTTTCCCCAAAACTTCCTGAAAATGGCAGTCATTTTCAAAAAATCCTCTCATTGACAAAGATTTCAGTTTCTCATTTAGAATAGTAAAAACTCAGTAATTTATATTGATTAATTTTATGTTTAGGACACATTGTACACATATACATGATTTTTTTTTCAAACTTAGTTTACCAATAGCACAGTATCTTTGCTATTCATATATGCTAAAAGATAATGGACTATGCTTCTTTTCAAATGTTCTGTAATTAAAACATTTCACTAATTTAATCTGGTCCTCTGGCTTCATTCAGGTAATTACTTGAAGTGATTGTTTTATTATACCAATTTTTCTCCTTTGATTTTGAAGCCATAGCTTTTTAGGTAGAGACCCTGACTCTCAATCACTTTCCAGTGAGACCTTAATCTGAATATAAGGCCTGAATTTGGAAACAGGCATTCTGTGGTGTCTGTTAATGATAGAGGCAAGAAGGAAAGTGCATTGTTTGAGAAACTGATTATGTGGGTTAAAAAAAAAAAAAGGTACGGGAGAATGAACTCATTTTACTCTGCCAGCAGCTTGAGGCTCAAGAGTGCTAATCAAAATTCACATATAAAAACTTCCCTGATAGATTTTAACAGTTTTGTACTGTTAAGAAGGGGATCTCACTATGTGAAAGATCCACTGCTGTGCTGAACAAAACAGAGACAGTTTTCTTTTAAAGTCCAGAGCAGATGAGAGCCATAAGGAGACAGAGGGTTTCATTTACTCTCAGGACACGATTGTGCCAGTGAACTAATGAGTCTCTTGGACCTTATGTTGCTCTGGCTTCAATCGAGGCGAGACTCTAATGGGCATGTAGTACTTCCTATCCGTCAAGTGTCTGGACAATGGGCCCCTCATATGGATTAGAGCGATCTGGCAAGAAAAAGAGGTCATCGTTGTACCTAGCACAAGCAGGAAACCTGGCTAATTAGTCTACTTTCAACTATAGCAAAACAAAAGCTGACACTTACACACACAAATGTTAATTGTTTTGCAGAAATTTAGCCTATAGCTGAGGCAGAGTTAACACATTATTGAAATTCCATAGGTAATAAATACCCCTCTTTTCCTCAACACACTCAAATAGTTTTAAAGATATAAAGGTCATTCTTTAAAACAACTCTGTGATTTTTGTGACTTGCATATTTCAGTCTTCAGTTAAGCTGGATGATGTAGAAATACTTTTCAACAGTTACAAAGCAAACACCAAGAGTGCCAACACTGCATAATTTTAACACTTTGCCCTTTAAAAGGTACTGTTGAATTAAGCTTGTAAAAATCCTACTGCTGTATTAATGGAGAGCTAGAGAATACAAATGTTTATTCAAAAGAGAGGGCTGAGTTACACTGTTAAACTAAGAGCAGATGCTGCCACCTAGATACATTCTGATTCTTTATTTAACTAGATGTTGGCTTATATTACTTTTTGAAAAATGGCAACAACAGACAGTAGTGGCTTGGCACAATAAAAATACAGTGAGTGACAAAAGATCACTTTACAAATCCATAGAACTGTAATTTTCTTGGGGAAAAAGAGACATTTCCATTTTGCCAAATAGGATTAAGACTTTATTCAATTTTTTACATGCAGAAGACAAATTATTATTAGGAATAGGAGGAGAAAACTTTATAGAATTTGTTTTTTTTTTAAAGCTTCATAATCCTGAAGTTTATAAAGAGAGAGATGCAGAAGTGATATTAGTAAGACTTGTAACTTTCTTGATAGCTTATTTCTTCTTGTGTTTGGGAAGAGGAAGAGATCGATTGAAATGATAACACAAACAGGTTTTGGTTTGATAAGTAAAATAAGATTACTTAATAAACAATTTTTAAAGAAAGCATTACATTATAATCTATTCTGTTACCCTTCCTAGCAAACAAAGCAATCTAACTTTCCCTTCCTTTTATTCCTAACAGAAAAATGAATGTTGCCCATTTTTTGGCTTCAGATTGGAATCCAAAATCAGTAAAGTGTTCCAGGATCATTCATTTATCAGGTTTAGAGAGGGTTTTTAATGTTTGGACTGTAGGTTTTCTTCAAATCTCAACTTGTTTTCCTCTGTTACTCCTAGAATGGCTTCAAGGTCATCAATGGCAGTCTGTAAATGAACAGTGAAAATAATATTTGTTACTTAAAGACCTCTTACAAGTCTTCCATCCAGTCCCTCAAGCATTTGCTCCTTTTTGAAGTTAACTATGGTTTAGATCAGTTCTGCTCGAAGTGTGTTCCATTAACCAGCAGCCATCTATTAATTGTTGGTTATCAGTCTTAACGAAATGGGTTAAAAACTGAGAGGAAGAACTTGGAAACCTTTATAGAGATTTTTGTGTCTATTAAATATAATAAAAAATGGACTTCTGTTTAATATGTCTTTGATTTTTTTCATTTTATTTTTCTAGTAATTCATTTTTGTTGTATTTCACATATGTATTGATGCATAATAGATCAGAAAAAATACAACAAACAGGTCCTTCATTGAAGTTAATTTGAGATGCCCTGGTCTAGTCACCCTAAAAGGAGGACTAGCAGACTGATGGGAGCATTTATTTCCATTGGTTTGGGGGAGGAAAAGTGGCACATTTCCATGCATTTTAGTTTTTTTTTTTTTTAATTGAGGTAAAATTCACCTATCATAAAATCCACCCTTTTAAAGTATATAATTCAGTGGGTTTTAGTATATTCATAAGATGCCATTACTCTATGTTATTCCAGAACATTTTCATCACCTGAGTAGAAATTCAATACCCATTATCTGCCACTCCTCATTTTCTACCTCTCCTACCTGCTGGTAACCTCTAATCTATTTTCTATCTCTATAGAATTGTCTACTCTGGCCATTTCATGTAAATTAATCATATAATATGTGGCCTTTGTGTCTTAGCATAATGTTTTCAAGGTTCATCCATTTTGTAGCATGGATCAGAATTTAATTTCTTTTTTATGGCTGAATAATATTTCATTGTATCTATTATCTATTTTTACTTTGGTTGTTTGCACTTGAGGTATTATATCTAAGAAACCATTGCTAACCACAAGATCATGAAGATTTATACTTAGTATTCCAAGGTATGAAATATTACTCATTTAATATGATATAATGGAATTCACCTATTTATCTGCTGATGGGTATTTGGGCTGTTTCTACCTTTTGGCTCTTATGAATAATGTTTCTATGAACACTAATGTATGTTTTCACATGAGTATATATTTTCAGTACTCTTGGGTATAAAACTAGGTGTGGAATTGCTGAATCATATGGTAATTTTGTTTAACATTTTGAGGAAATATGAAACTATACATGGCAATGACACCGTTTTATATTTCTGCCAGCAATACATGAGGGTTCCAGTTTCTCCGTATCCTTGTCAATGTTTGTTATTATGTCTTTTGGATTGTAGCTATCTTAAGTGTATAATGGAATCTTGTGGTTTTGATCTGCATTTCCCTAATAACTTAGGATGTTGAGTGTTTCTTCATGTTTTTATTGTGTATTTGTATATCTTCTTTGACAACAATCTATTCAAGTCCTTTGCTCACTTTTTAATTGGTTATTTGTTTTTCTGTTGTTGAATTATAAGAGTGCTTTATATACTGTGAACACTAGAGACATCATATACATGATTTGGAAATAACTTCTCCAATTCTGTAAGTTGTCTTTTCACTTTTGTAAGTATCCTTTGGTGTACACAGAAGTTTTCAATGTTGATGGAATCCAACTTAGTGTTTTTATGTTGCTTGATTGCACTTAACGTATCATATCTAAGAAGCCATTGCTAACCACAAGGTCTTGAAGATTTATACCTGTTTTCTTCTAAGAATTTAATACTTTTAACTGTTACATTTATGTCTTTAATCCAATTTTACTTAATTTTTGTATTTGCTATGGAGTTGAGAGGTACAACTTCATTCATTTGCATGTGGATATCCATTTGTCCCAGCACCATTTATCAAAAAGACTATTCTTTTTTCATTGAATGGGCTTGGCATATGTTGAAAGTCAACTAACTGTAAAAGTGAAGGTTTGTTTTTGAACTCTCAGTTCTATTCCATTCATCTATATGTCTGTTCTTATGACAGTACCACATATTCTTGATTACTGTAGCTTTGTAGTCAGTTTTTAAAATTGAGAGGCCCTCTAACTTTGTTCTTTTTTCCCAAGATTATTTTGACTATTTTGGATCTCTCAAATTTCCAAATAAATTTTAGGATTATGTCATCAATTTCTGCAGTAAAGCCAGCTAGGATTTTGATAGGAATTGCAATGAATCTGTGAATCAATTTGGAGAGTACTGCCATTTTAGCAATGTTAAGTTTTCTGTTCCATAAACATAGAATGTCTCTCCACTTATTTAGGTCTCCTTTCTTTTACGCTGTTTTGTAGTTTTCAGCAGACAGGTCTTGTACTCATTCTGCTAAACTTATTTGTAAATTCTTTTTTATTTAAAAATCAATTTTAGATTGTTCATCGCTGACATATGGAGATACAATTGATATTTATATTAATATATTGATATTGGGTCTTACAAACTTGCTGAATTTATTAGTTCCAATAGATTGTTTCTGAGTTCTTTAGGATTTCTATATACAAGATCATGTCATCTGTGAATAAAGATAGTTTCTTTCTTTTCAGTCTTGGTGCCTTTTATTTCTTTTTCTTGCCTCACTGTCCAGGCTAGAACCTCCAATATAATGATGAATAGAAGTGGTGAGAGCAGACATCCTTGTCTTGTTCCTGATCTTGGGGGGAAAGTTTTCAGTCTTGCACCATTAACTATGATGTTAGCTGTGGGTTTTTCCCAGATGCCCTTATCAGGTTGAAGAAGTCACTTTTTAGTCCTAGTTTGTTTGAGTGTTTTGTTTAATCAAGAAAGGGTGTTAGATTTTGTTAAATGCTTTTTCTGCATTACCTTTTTATTTGGCCTTTACTTTGCTGGTAAATCTTTGTTTACAAACAGAAAATACTTATTAGGCTGTCATTAGGATAGTAGACAAAAATACTACCAAAAATGAATCTATTACACTTTTTAAGTTTTTAAAAGTTATTCCTATTTTATTGAGATTTAAAGTTTTTACCTTTGGATCTTCTACCAAGGGTTAAAAAAAAGTCAAGATAACAGTGATTTGCATGAGATGCAGAAACCATGAGATATTTAAAGCTACTTAAGAATATCTGACTTTTGATGATTTTTAAAGTCAGACAAAGGGCAGAGAGAAAAGGCCTTATTTTGTCAATAGCAGTTGGCTCTGCCAACCTCAAGTCCAAGGTTGGAGTCTACTAAGTCTGCATGGTTTGGGGGATAAACTGTGTGCCTTAGTCTGCCCAGGCTGCTATAACAAAACACTGTAGATGGCATGGCTTTAACAACAAAAATTTATTTCTCACATTTCTGGAGGCTGGGAAGTTTGAGGGCAAGGTGCTGGCTCTCTCTGTTCCTGGTGAAAGCTCTCTTTCTGGTTTGCAGACAGCCATCTTTTTGCTGTGTTCCCATTTAGTGGGGAGACAGAGACAGAGAAAGAGAGAAAGAAAGAGTGCAAGGTCTCTGGTTTCTTATAAGGGCACTAATCCCATCATGAGGATCCCACCATTATGACTTCATTTAAACATAATTACTTCCCAAGGTCACCCTCTTCATTTATTATCATACTGGGGATAAAGAGTTCAACACGTGAACTTGGGAGAACACAGTTCAGTCCACAGCACCATCTGATCCTGACTATTAGCTGTATTTGGAGAGACTAAACTGATCACGTGTATATAGGCTCAGAATTTTGCATATCATGGTAATGGATGAAATGATGCTAGCTGGCAGGAACTTAGAATATAAATGATGAGCACAGATCCTTTAGAAAGACCAGTGAAAGTTGATGCAACACATAAAATCACTCTGAAGAGCAAAGCATTATTATCATTATTACTGTTACAGAGGGACTCTTGAGAGTCCCTTGGACTTCAGAGATCAAACCAGTCAATCCTAAAGGAAATCAGTCCTGAACAGTCATTGGAAGGACTGGTGCTGAAACTGAAGCTCCAATACTTTGGCCACCTGATACAAAGAACTGACTCAGTGGAAAAGACTCTGATGCTGGGAAAGACTGAAGGCAAGAGGAGAAGGGAACAACAGAGGATGAGATGGTTGGATGGCATTACTGACTTGATGGATGTGAGTTTGAGCAAGCTCTGGGAGTTGGTGAAGGACAGGGAAGCCTGGCGTGCTGCAGTCCATGGGGTCACAGAGTTGGACATGACTGAGTGACTCAACTGGCTGAGCCGGGACTGGGCCCTAGCTCAAGGAAAAAATATTCAAAATTTTTATTTTTATCATGCTTTTGTTGGTCTTTCCATTTAAGAGAAAAATCACATGTGGTTTCTGATTGAATCCCTTGAATTACTTGACCCATTCAAACAAGATGAAGGCTGACTGGGAACCAGATGCACACTCCAGTGAGCAATATCAAGTGTTCGTCTCTGTTTAGCTGATACTTTAAAAATTCTGGTATATCTTGCTCTCATTTTCTAGAGTTTAGAGACTTCTAATCAATTACACATGACTGGATTTCCTGAAGCAACATCATTAGGTGATGTTTGGAAGCTTCAAAATGTTATGATGATATACCTGTCCCACTTCAGCGAAATGGGGTGGAGCAGATGGCTTACAAATATACTGAGGTTTTCTTCTGTTTCTCCCTATACACGTTGTCCTTCCTGGAATCTCAGAACTTTTCTGGCTCTAGAAACTTAGACTTCCCAGGAATCCTTGGCCAGATATCATATTATCTGAAATATAGGTAGATTATAGTCAGGATTTTTGATTGTGACAGTCTCTGTTTTGGTTCCATTGTGACACTTCAGTGTCACCTTCAACATCAGAAAGCCCTGTTGTCTTGTAAGTTTAGATTTGGAAATGGCAGCAAGTTAAAACAAGTCTACTATATTTAAAGAAAAAGTTTCAAACTATTAAATTTAACTAACAGGTTCAATGGGTACCTTACAATATT